CCTGAGCTACAAGCCGCACAGGTGGTCTGCACATCCATTGAGCACCCACTGGATACTGGAGCACCCTACTTGCATCTCCTCACTGGCCCCTCCTAGAGAGGCTGGTCCTGTGTCCACTTTGCCGATGAGGAAACAGGCCCAGGGTTTACTTGGAGTCAGCACAGATTCTGGAAAGCAGCCAGTTCCCTGCTTGCGCAGTGACAGGCGCCGGGGAGAACTTTTTTGTGGGTGGGGGCGTCCCCTGGTGGCCAAGCCAGGAACTGCAACCTGGGCCACAGTGGGTCTGTCCTGTCTCCCACCTTCTCCTGAGCCCCAGTCCCGCCCCTGCTCACACACCCGCCATGGCTCCCCATGGNATATGGGAATGTTTTTGTACTGTCCTATTTTTCCTCACATCTATAACTCTTCTAAAATTAATGTTTCTTTTTAAAAAGCAAAGCCCAAATCAGAAGAATGGTGCTTAACGGTTGCTGTTTGGAATTTTAAAGGGAAAATCCACAAACTTCCTGTTTGCAGAGCCCGGACAAGGATGCAGCAAATGACACTTGCAAAATTTAGGGGCACACCAAACCGTTCTATTATTATCGCCATTTTACACCGGGGGAAACAGAGGCTGACAGGAAAGTCATTTACCCAGAGTCCCATGGGAGGCGGGGCTGTTCACCAGCAATCCTGACCTCTGATCTGTAACTGTGGCCACCGACCTGGCCCCAAGCTGACTGTAAGGTTTGCAGGCCAGAACGACACAGCTCAAACAAGTCAACTTTGCCAAGGGTTGTGTCTGTGCACCTGGGGTTCCAAGCAGGGTGGCAGGCCCCTCCTCAGGACACACAAGTCCCCTTGAGTCTTTTCAGCAAGACTATGCCCCATCCCTTGTTAACTTGCTTCTAAGTGGCTTTACTGGGGGACTTCTGGGCAGAGGGATGTCCAACTGGGGGGCCTAGGGGTGCTTCGCCAGACCTTCTGGGAAGCCTGGGCCCCTGGCCTTGTCCCCCACCTGC